AGTATATAGCTACTGAAGATTCCATGTCCTCAGGAAGAAATGATTCTAGGATCTTTAAGCATGCTGGGAATGTAAACATGGTTAATATTGCTGATACATTGAATGGTATGAACAATAATATGACAGCCTAGATAGTCTCCAGCTATAAACAAATAAGAAGTCCTAGATAAAGTATAAATATCACCATTTTTAAAGTACCAAGACAAGAAAGCAAGAATTTTCAGCAACCCAAAAAGGTCAGCAGAACACTGCAGGGCATTTGCAAAATCTGGAAACCTTGATCTTCATTATGGCTCAGAGTGGGTTAAGTGTTGAGCTACTAACTTTAAAATCAGAGCTTTAAGCTCACCAGCTGCTCTGAAGGAGGAAGATGGGGCTATCTTTCCCATAAAGATTTATAGCCTCCTGTACTACAGGGTAACTGTGAGTCAAAATAGACTCACAATGGCAGTGATGGGTTCTGATGGAATGAAGCGTACAAATTTAAAAGCCTAGCCAACAAAGAATATCTAATTAGAGACTCCCTTTGTCAAGGGCTCCAAAGAGGACTGGGGGTTAATGCGCTAGACTGAAAGATTGGTTTGAACCATGAAGTCGGTTCAAGCTCACTAGCCACTCCTTGGAAATCCTATACAGGGTCTCTATGACTCGGAACTGACTCAACAGCACTCAACAGCAACAAAGAGTCCACACACATGGGTCAACTGTCACCACCAGCACCACCTCACCCACTGAAAGGTCTGCAAGGATTCTGGTGCTGAATGCAAGTGGTGGAGCTTGTTGGGAGGAATTGCCACTGACCTCTTGCTACCTCAAGATAATAATTTAGAGGAATGTTAGGCTGTTCATGCCTTACATGCCTGGATGTCGCAGATGCAAATATTCTCTGGCTGAACATACTAAATTCTAGACCTCAAAAAAATTTTATAAACTCCCAAGCAAAATAAGCATCCATAGTCAAAAATAACTAATCTACAAGGAACAAAAACACCATGATTAAGAGACGACCCATGAGGATTTCAAATAATGGAATTATCATACACATTGAAAAATATTTAAAGAAAATCGAATATAAGCTTGAAAATATGTGCAAGGGGTAAGGAACTATAAAGAATGACAAATTAGGTTTTGGTAAAGAACAGGAGGTCAAATTAAAAACAATATGTATTGTTACTAGCATTCCAATTCATACATGCATGGGTTTATTCCAAACAAAGCATTTTTAAACATTTCTCTCTAATCAGTGGTTGGCTGCAGATAAGTTCTCTAAGTAATATATTTGTTTTAATTTGGAATTAGGGTGAATTTCAAAAAGAAGAGTTCAGCCAACACAGTGGCTTCAAAAGGGATCTGTTGTACCAGTTAAATTCAAGGTCAAGAGATCAGCTCAGAAAATTTTGGTGACTGTGTTTTGGACTCTAACAGATTTTCTCAAAGGATACAGGATGTTTGTGAAGGCTTATTATAAAGAAATTTTAAGAAAGAAATAAAAGCTTCATTGGTGAGAAAAATGACAGGAAAGTTGCACTGTGAAAATTTTTTCCCATCACAACAATGCACCTGCTCATTCTTTGATGGAAGCAAAGGGCATCCTAGGAGAATTTCACTGGGACACCTTTTCTCATCTACCCTACAACCTTGGTCTTGCCCCTTCATACTTATTTTTTGTTCCCAAAACTCAAAGGACATTTAAAAGAAATGATTTTAATACCTCAAGGATGCTGTGGTTAAGTTAAAGGGTAGGACTCTTCAAGGAAGGATTTTTGTTGTTGTTAGGTGCCATCGAGTTGGTACCAACTCATAGCAATCCTACGCACAGCATAATGAAACACTGCCCAGTCCTGGGCTAACATCACAATTGTTGCCATGCTTTAGCCCATTGATGCTGCCATATTGCCGATCCATCTCACTGGGGGGGTCTTCTTCTTTTTCTCTGACCCTCTACCTTACCAAACATGATATCCTTCTCCAGTAACTGGTCCCTCCTGACAATATGTTCGAAACATGAGAGATGAACTTTGGCCATCCTGGCCTCCAAGGAGCACTCTGGCTGCACTTCTTCCAACATAGATCTGTTGGTTCTTTTGGCAACCCATGGCACTTCCAATATTCTCCTCCAACACCATAACTGAAATGCATCAATTCTTCTGTGGTCTTCCTTATTCACTGCCCAGCTTTCGCATGCATACGAGGTTAATGAAAACACCATGGCTTGGGTCAAGTGCACCTTAGTCCTCAAGCTGACATCCTTGTTCTCCAACACTTTTAAAAGGTCTTGTGCAGCAGATTTGCCTAATGCAATATGTCGTTTGATTTCTTAGCTGATGCTTCCATGAGTGTTGGTAGTTGATCTAAGAAGAATGAAGTCCTTGACAACTTCAATCTTTTCTCCGTTGATAAGAATATTGTATATTGGTTCAGTGGTGAGGATTTTCATTTTCTTTACATTGAGATGCAACCAATACTGAAGGCTGTGCTCTTTGATGTTCATCAGTATTTTAAGTCCTCGTCACTTTCAGCAAGCAAGGTTGTATCATCCGCATATCACAGGTTGTGAATGAGTCTTCTCCCAATCCTGATGCCACGCTTTTCTTCATAGAACCCAGCTTTTCGGATTCTTTGCTCAGCATACAGGTTAAATAAGTATGGTGAAAGAATACAAGGAAGGATTAAACAGGTAGGAACACACCTTCAGAAGCATATAAACTTGGATTGAGGATATGGCAACAAAAAATAACTTCACTTTTTGATCTTTTTGTTTAAGAAAGGTCTCTATTATTTTTAACAATATTTTTTTACTTACCCTAATATATATGCTAGAGTCCTGGTGTGGTGCTGTAGGGTAAGCACTGGACTGCTAGTTGCTCCTTGGAAATGTTATATAGAGTCACTATGAGTCAGAACTGACTCAAATGGAAGTTAACAACAAGAATATATATTCTTGTAAAGTTAATAACGAAAATTTTAACACTCAACCAGGAGATTTTACCCAGCCAGAAAAAGAACTGATGAACAGAAAGATAGATCATCAAACAAGAACATTTTTTTTCTTTCCAAATGAGCAGTCTTCAAGCGAAAGTCCCCAATGTCTCATAGCAACCACATTTTCTACCATTTATTTAACTCTGAATTCATAAATATGTATCAACCACCTACAATGTACCAGACAGTTTGCTCATCAACAGATTCCAGAAATGAACAAGACATAGCTCCTTCTGATAAGAAGCTCTTAATTAAAGGGGAGAAAGATCAGCAAACAAGCACAGTACAAAGTGACAATGGCTACAATGCATGAAAATTATCTGACTCTAGAACATTCCTCTTTAGACTGAATTCAAATTATTTTATAAACAGTTATGCTAACTCTTGAGACTGAGATGCTTCGTAGTTTTAAAATTATATAGCATAGTTATTTTCCTGATATATACACAATCCTCTAAGGGTCGGTCCATGGATAGTTACACAGTCTGAACAGGTGTGTGAGGGAGAGCAGGAGTTTATCCACAAATATATAAAGTTAGATAGAAATTTTGTACCTAGGTATTTACTTTTGTGGCAAACATATCCATGAATGTGGTGGAGCTGTCAATTGTGGTAATTCACAATGTTCTACATTATACTTTGGTGAGTTACAACTGGGATCTTAAAAGCTCATGAGCAGCCATCATAAGATGAAATTATTGGTCTCTCCCTGTGCAGAGGAAAGAAGAGTGTTGAAAATTGAAGATGCCTAGAAACAATTAGTCCAATGGGACGAATGGACCATGAAAATATCAGTCTTCGTGACCATGAGACCAGAAAAACTAGATATTACCCAGTCCCTGGCGCTGTGGATTAATGTGCCAGACTGCAAAGCTATTTGAACTGCAAGGTCAGCGGTTCAAGCTCATCAGTCACTCCTTGGAAACCCTATACAGGGTCACTATGCATCAGAATTGACTTAACAGCACTTAACAACAACAACAACTACCATCTGCTCTGAGCATATCGCATTAGAAGGTCCTGGATAGAATAGGAGGAAATATGAAGTAAAACTCAAAATCATTAAAAACAGATCCGGCTTACTTGTCAGACAGAGACTGGTGGAAACCTAAGACTATGGTCTTGTTCACCCTTAAGGTCTGGAACTATACTCACCCCGCTGACTCAATTTTCAGCCCCAAACAGATAGAATAGGTATACAGGGAAAGCAACAAAACTAGTGAGGTATGCACACCAGACAATGGTCAACCACTGGACATCAAAAGCATAACATTTACACAAAGACAAAAGGCAGAAGGGTTGGGAAAGGAGGAGGAAGTAGGATAAGAGGTGCTATAAGGACAGGGTTGCAATCATTGAGATGAAACAAAATGTATGATTTGTTGAATGTAAAACTGATATCTGCTCAGTTAATCTTCACTCAATTTACAAACACATACTAAAAAAAAGTTAAGAAAAAAAAAAGTTTTTTTCAAAAGATTAACTCCATACCCCAATTACATTTGAATTAAATCGACTCAGTGAGAATGTAGATATTTCTAGCTACCAATTCCAGACTCTTGGTATGGCTCTGTAGAATAAGCACTGGATTGCTAACTACAAGGCAGGCAGTTCAAACGCACCAACCACTTCTCAGAAACCCTATACAGGGTTGTTATGAGTTGGACCCACCTTGACAACACTTAAAAACAACATTCCAGATCCAATGATATACTCTGAGGCATGTCTTCCTGAAATGGAAATGATCAAAGTAGTTTTCAAATGCCCGATGACCATCTTAATCTCTTATCATGAATACAAGTTGTTTGGAAAGAATGTTCCCCCTACAGAAATCCACACCCTTGTGTTCTGGTACACTGGATACTGAAGCATACTAGTTAATTCATTCATCCTGTTTTATGGAGTTTTTGTTGTTTTGTTTTGTTTCTTTCTGTTCTATTTTCCTCCATTCTTTTGGATACTACTCTCCTATCTTCAAATGCGGGAGTCTATTGTTTGTCCTGTGTGTTTTTTTCTAGACTGCTGCCAAGCTAAAGACCAGTATATTGAACAGTTCAAGGAAACTCTGAACACTACTGTGGCCAAGTCAATTGCCGGATTTTTTGCAGAGCCTATTCAAGTGGGTATTATCAACGTTAAACCTGGATTCAGCTGAGTGTTGATCGTATCAATGTGTTTTAACTCATACATGCTACAGAATCTCAACTAATGTTAAGCGCTTGTTGCTGCATCCCTCTCCAAATTTAATTCAGTATTGTCCTCTCCTGGAAAAAAAGAAGTTCCTGATAACCAGCTTACATTGTATTTTCTTTAATCATTTTTAAGTCTCCTCCCTTCCCAGACTGAATAGATAGATGGAACTGTTGAATTTCTAAAATTATTTAGAAAAGGTAACCCTCGCAATTTTTCATTACCTGTGGGGCTTTAGAATGAGCACTCGATGACAAGGTTGGTTTGAACTGCAAGGTCAACGGTTCAAACTCACCTGCTGCTCCTCAGAAACACTATACAGGGTCGCTATGGGTCAGAACCGACTCAGCTGCACTTAACAATAACAACACTCACATGGAGACATGGTGTGGCACTGTAGAATCAGTACTAGACTGCTAACCACAAGGTTAGTGGTTCAAACTCCCAGCTGCTCATTGAAAACGTTATACAGGGCAGCTATGAGTCAGAATGACTCAACTGCACTTAACAACACTCACTTGGAAGCCTGGTGTGGTGCTGTTGGATAAGTACTGGACTGCTAACCACACCATAGGTGGTTCAAGCCCACTAGCCACTCCTCAGAAATCCTATACAGGGTCGTTATGAGTCAGAACCGATGCAGCAGCACTTAACAACACAGCAACAAAAATACTCACACAGAGGCCTAGTGGCACTGTGGTTAAATGTTGGCCTCCTAATCACAAGGTCAGTGGTTCAAATCCACCAGCTGCTGCATGGGAGAAAGAGGAGATTGTCTAGTCTGGTAAAGATTTTTTTTTTTTTTTTCAGAATGTTCCACAGTTGAGTGGCTTTCATTTGAAAATGGCTTTTCGCTACAAGACATTCAAGTTTAAGCCACATTCCAAAATACAGAAAGCCCTGTCACTGGCAAAGAACAACTGGCTTTCTTCCGGTAAAGATTCACAGTCACAGAAACCCTAAGGGGTCGTTCTAACTGTCCCACAGGGTCACCATGAGTTGGAGTGAATGAGTTTGGTTTTGGTTTTTAAATATTTACCCTAGTAGAAGGGCCTTTCTTTACTCTTACCAACTTCTCTTATTCTACTTTTTCTAATCTCAGGAAAGTATGAATATTTGCATCCTTTCGCAGAAGACACAGCATATGAGTAATGGTCCTTCTTTTCATCCATAGTTGAAACCGTTTTGAACACTGTTTTTTAAGTTGCTAGTATTTCAAATGACACTGAAGATAATAATCCATTCTTTTTTTCTTTTTTGTAAACTTTGCCAAGAGCTGCTGTTGTGATGATAAGCCTTTTCGTCTTGGTCTTTTGCAGGGGGTGAACGGAGTTGTTCAGTATCCAAAGGGGTTTTTGAAAGAAGCCTTCCAGCTGGTGCGAGAGAGGGGAGGAGTGTGCATTGCAGATGAAGTGAGTGACAATGTGATGGGTAACAGTCACTGCAGTGAGGACAAGAAAGGCACAGGGACACATCGTAAATGCCCCCTCTGTATCCCAGGCAAGGAACCCTGGTGCCACAGTTTAGCATTGAGCTGCTAAACTAAAGGTCTGCAGATCAAACCTACCAGCTGCTCTGTGGGAGAAAGATGTGACAGACTGCTTTTGTAAAGATTCACAGCCTTGGAAAATCTATGTAACTGTTCTACTTTGCTGTTAAGTGCCATAAAGTCATTTCAGACTCATAGCAACCCCATAAATGACTGACTTTGTGATTCACATGGACCTCTCAGTCCAGCAAATGCTTATCCTACAGAGTCACCCAGGACTCCACAGCCCCACCCCAGGACTCCATAGGACAATAATGCTACCTTGGAGTCCTGGTGTGACATTGTAGGATAAAGCACTGGACCACAGGGTTGGTTTAATTTCAAGGTCAGTGTTTCAAACTCAACAGCGACTCCTTAGAAACACTGTACATGGTTGTGATGACTTGGAACCTGACCCCGATGGCAATTAGCAACAAAAATAACAATGCTACCTTATTACTGACTCGTAGTAGTGGGTCTGTATCCCAGACAGAAACCATCTACTGTTGGAAGTCCATGGTTATAAATTAATTAATGAGTTTTTTGCTAGTTGACTGATGTGTTAGGGAATCAACCAGTTGACTTAACAAGTACAAATGAACTTGTACATCCAAATGAATGTCTATCAAATAAGTACCAACAAACACAGTTTTCATGTGTATTTAAAATTCTTATTTGAGGATTGCTTTAGGCAGCTTACAAACCACATAGGAATATTACTCTCATGACCAAGCCTACATCTTTTTTTTCTTTCTTTCTTTATTGTGTATTGTGTGATAGTCTACATGGGGGGGGGGGGTCCCTCTCTCCGCTCTTCTCCATTGATGGTCCCAGGGCCCTGCAATCCTAGACTGAAAGGTTAATCACATCCCTCCTTGCTATAAAATGTCCACCTTTACATTATCAGTCCTCACAATCAGTCCTGGTAACAATCATTCACCCTTGCATCCCAAGGGACCCATCTGCATTTCTTTTCATCTACCCCTCCCAGACAGGGAGACTCCACCATCCTCCCCACCCTGTGGATCTAGGTTCCCTCTTGAAAGCTTCTAAGCCAGTCACTTCTTACCTATGCATCCCTTCTGCCATTTTTGGTTAGTCAATGTTCATGTTGCCCATCCCTATCTACTCTTGTGTGGAGGGGGTGGGAATAATTCTTGGAGCAGGGATTTGTTTCCTCTTTTGAGCTACTGCATTTATAGATGGATGTCCAGTTTATCA